GCCTGGGTGGGTCCAAGTCAGGACACTGAGTGTCAGCCACAGAGCAGGGCCCCGGGAAGGCCACGCCTCAGAGTCACTGCCAGGACACGAGTGGTGGGAACTGCGATGAGGGTGACACATGCTGTGGCAGCTGTGACACCAGCAGATGAAGCAAATTTGAAATGGGGGGAGGGTTAGGAAATGGGGACCAATCTGATAGGCCCCAGAGTCAAGGCAGGCACAGCACCATGCCCCATCTCTACCGGCCTCCCTGTGTCACCATGGGCTACACAGCACGGCTGCGGCTCCGGGGCCAGCTAGATGACCACTCGCCCTCTCGTGGCAGCCACCCACTGAGAAGCCCACTCAGGCCCAGCTTTCCCTCACTTTATTCCATCATCATAGCCCATCTGGGAGTGACTTGGATTAATTAACACTTCCTCTGAAGACCAGCATTTGGGGCTGGTGGTCCCTCAGCCCAGCCCAGCAAGAAGGTCCGTAGGATGCCTGCAGTGCCCCATCTCACTGGCCAACTCTGGTGCCCAAGAGCGCAGTCAGGCCAGGCCCGGCGGGCGCCTCCTGCACGTCCCCAAAGCCGTGCTGCTCCAGCAGGGCCCGGTAGTCAGCCACACACCTGTCCCTGCCCCCCGTCTGCAGCAGTGAGTTCAGTGACCACATCAGGCTGGCCCGCGGCTTTCGCTCCTCTGAGTCCATAATAGCTTCCACCAGCAAGAGGCCGGCCCCTGCAGAGGGAGGACAGAGAGAGAGATGTAACCACCCGGTGGAGGGGGGAGCAGAGGTGCTCAGGGAAGGGGGCCCAGGCTGAGAGATGGGAGAGACAGATGCAGAGACAGATTAGAGCAGAGTTTTCCAACCTATAGTATCTAACAGCACACTCGAACCCATACTGAAACTTCTGCGGCACACTTAAATGATGTGAATCCAAAACAAAGTAGGAAAAAAAAAGGCAAAAAAGAATATACTTACTGTGCTTTGGACTTCTTTTGAATGTAACTTAATTAGTATTTTAAAAAAATGTTTGCAGCACACCTAAGATCACGACACAGCAGAAAGTCACTAGGTTAGGTGGATGATGGCAGGTTGGAGGGAGATAGTGGTGCCCGACGGTAAGTACAGGTGGTGGGTGATCAGTAGATAGAAACACGGATAGACGGATCAGTAGACAGAGACACAGGTAGACGGATCAGTAGACAGAAACAGGGATAGACGGATCAGTAGACAGAGACACGGGTAGACGGATCAGTAGATAGAGACACAAGTAGACGGATCAGTAGACAGAGACACGGGTAGACGGATCAGTGGACAGAGACACAGGTAGATGGGTCAGTGGACAGAGACACGGGATAGACGGATCAGTAGACAGAAACAGGGATAGACGGATCAGTAGACAGAGACACAGGTAGACGGGTCAGTAGACAGAGACACGGGTAGACGGATCAGTAGACAGAGACACGGGTAGACGGGTCAGTGGACAGAGACACGGGTAGACGGGTCAGTGGACAGAGACATGGATAGACGGATCAGTGGACAGAGACACGGACTCTTTTCAAAAATTCACTGCTTAATCTAAAACTCTCTTAACAATTTTTTAATAAAAGGAAAACTTAGAGGAAACGTAACGGGGTGTTCTCACCTGGACGGCAGCTGCTGGACACTCTGCTGAGCAGCCCCTGGACTCTGTCATCCGGCCAGTCATGGAGGACTCTGGACAGGATATACAGGTCAGCCTTGGGGAGGCTGTCTCTGAAGAAGTCACCTGGTTCGAAGACAAAAGCAGCTAAATCTGACAGGTGCAGGGGGAGAGGTCCCTGGCAGGGCAGAAAAGGGGATAGTGGCCTTTGACCTACACGTAGAAAACAGCGGAGGAAGTCAGGACAGAGTCCCTGAGCATGGAGGGCAGGGTCACACAGAGGGGGTGTCCTTCTGCAGGGGAGCCCAGCTGGCACCACTCACGGCATGGGCTTCTGTGTCTTCATAAGTAAGAAACAGCCAGGCAGGCCCCCCCGGGAACCCCAGATGCAGGTGCCATGGGAGAGACAGACATCTCGGGGTGGGGTCTATTTGTACCACATTCTAGAAGTGCTGAAATAAAATGATGGCCTGCAATAGTGGGGTGAGTTGTGTCCCACAAAAAATACAAGTTCAGGTGTGAGCCTTTGGTAACTGTTAGTGGGGCCTCATCTGGAAAAACCATCTTTGCAGAAGTGAACAGTGAAGGATCTCAAGACGAGACCATCCTGGATGAGGGAGGGTCAATGACAGCAGGGACACAGACAGAAAAGACATGGACATGGAGGCAGAGACTGGAGTGATGTGGCCACAAGCCGAGGGATACCTGGAGTCCCAGGAGCTGGGAGAGGCAGGAAGGAGCCTCCCCTGGGGCCTGTGGAAGGAACAGCCCAGAGACGCCTACAGCTCAGACCCCTGGGCTCCAGGGGTGGGGGAGTGAATTCTTGTGGTTTTAGAAACTGTCCTGAGGCCCCCACTCTGTGGGGCTTTGTCAGGGCACCCTAGGAAAGCAGTGCACATCCCAAGGTCTGGTCTGCAACTGTGGACACAGAAATGTCTGTTCCTTTACTTTTGTTCCTGCTTTGTCCAGCAAAGTCTTGGGTGCAGCTCAGATATGAACTGAGAGCATAAAGTGGCCAGAGCAGGTGAGGTGCGTGCAGAGTGGATGG